CTGCAGTAACAAATAAGGCTAGCAATCTCAGTGGCGTAATACAACAAAAAAGAATACTTTTTGCTTTCACAAATTCCAATTTGGAACAAGAGGCTCTTCTCCATGCAAGGGCCCAGGTTTTAATGCAGCTTTAATCTTATGACTGGAAGCCCTGGTGGCACAGTGGTAATGTGTTTAGCTGCTAACCAAAAAGTCGGCAGTTCAAACCTACCCAGGAAATCCATGTAGAAAAGAACTGACGATCTACTCCCATAAATATTACAGCCTAGAAAACCTTACAGGGCAGTTCTACTCTGAACAGAAAATTATAAGTCAAAAACTAATTTGAAGGCACTGAAAAACAACAATCTTATGACTCTATCTCAACATGTGGACTTCATAGTTGCTGTCAAAGAAGGAAGCTGAAAGATTGTACAGACCTCAACTATACATCACTGCCACCAACTGCCCACTGGATAGGACTCAGCTACATGTCCTAGATTATCTGCAAGGGAGGCTGGGAAATATCTGCCTATGTGCCCACGTACTCAGGAAGAGGAAGTGATGGCAAGATCGCGTTGCATGTCCCTTCCCACCTGATCATCCACCCACGGCTCTTTGGTAGACCTTCAGGAGCTGCCAGTGGTATTTTAAAGTATCTTCAGTACAAGGTGGGGCAGATAGCTAACATCCTCATCTGCTAACTGAAACGTTGAAGGTTTGAGTCCACCCAGAGTTACCTCGGAAGAAAATTTTGATGATTTACTTCCAAAAAATCAGTCGCTGGAAATTTGATCGAGCACAATTCTACTCTGACACACATGGGGTCACCACATGAGTTGGCATCAACTCGATGACAACTGGCTTTTTAAGAAAATCCTTTTATTTTAAACAGGCTGCTGCAAATGAGTCTCAGTATATTCTAACTATAGAGCGCATACCTTTTTTCTATGATTTTCTATCGTTCTCTATTTTAGCTGCTCATATTGGCCTATAAGTATCTATATTTTATGTTTTCTTCCTCAGATAAACTTAACCTTTTATTTGATTACCCTATGGATTTTGAGAGAGAGACTTTCTTCCCTCAATAAAGATGTATCCAAGATCCAAGACACAAGGTAAAGAAGCCTTTGGTTCATTAGAAGTGTTTAGCATAAAATGCCTTTCTATAGGAGTTTTTCCACATAGGTGATGTAATGTGGATTTTCCTGATATTCAAGAAATGGAGTATGTTTATAGGGAGGGAGGGGTGACGAGGTAGAGGTAAGTAGGAGGAAGGAAGTGTTAACTTACAAAGCATCCTTCAAAGCAACTGAATGTTTTGGTCAAAAATTCTATAGAAGGATCCTGATCAAAAGGGGAAATGATGAAGAACATAATTTCAAACTCCCAGTGGAATCCAGACTTTATGGAGCCATTGAGGCTAGAGGAACCCCTGAAACTATTGCCCTGAGATAATCTTTAAATTATCCACTGAAGTCTTCTTTAAACCAAACAATAGTTCAGCTTCATTAGTAAGGAATGTCTGCCTTGAGCACTGTTCTCTTTTAATATGGGGTCAAATTGACAATGGTGATTGGAAAGGTTAGATAGGTGACCTGTACGGGGGAGGAACAGCTTGGAAAAGGAGGGTGAGAATGTTGCACAACTTGAAGAATGGAATCAGTGTCACTGATTGTACATGTGGAAATTGTTGAAATGGTGTATGTTCTCAACAACAACAAATGTAAACAATTATTATTATTATTTTTATTTTTAAAGAGTGTCTACTACACCAGTTACATGAAGTGCATATACTTATCCCATTTTACAGATAGATATAACAAACAACAATCCATATATTATAGGGTAATTTCAGGTTTACATAAGGATTCTAACGTCTTCCTTTGGGTTCCTTTAAATCAGGAGCTCTGGTGGCATAGTGCCTAAGGCATTTGACTGCTAACCAGAAGGCTAGCAATGCAAACCAACCAGCCACTCCTCAGAAGGAAGACTGGGCAATCTACTTCCATAGAGATACTGCCTCAGAAACCCAAGGAGAGGTCACTATGAGTCAGATTCAAATTGACGGCAGTGAGTTTCCTTTAAATCAGAGTCGGTGAACTACAGCCCATGGACCAAATCTGGCCTCCTGTTTGTTTCTGTACAGCCCACAAGCTAAAATCAGTTTCCATCTTATTTTTTTAAAGACTAATTTTATTTGATACTGGACATATTTCTTGATTTTTTATCATTAGCACCTACACTGTTAGTCTTTTTAATACTTTTGTTTTGAACCAAAGAAAATTGTTGTTGTTTTAAGTGCCGTTGAGTTGATTCCTACTCATAGCAACATCGTGTTACAGAGTAGAACTGCCCCATAGGGTTTCTACAGGGTGCTGAACTGGTTCAAAAGAGTCCAGTCATGGCCAGTGAAGTGAAACTGGAATGGACACAAATTGTTAAATTTATGATCCAGAGTGATAACTGGAATGGGAAACATTACAGGTCAAAGCCCAGGAATGGCAGACTCTAAAGAGGCATACCAAACCCTTTCAGGAGTCTGATGCAGAAGGCTGGATGATTGCCAAGACTGTGGAGCATGATGCATGTTCAAAGTGGTGTAGTCGACTGCCATCTTTGAGCCAGGCACTGCTGTTTTTGACTCAGTCAGTCAAGAGATATGGTTGCTATGCAACACACACCCTTGTTTTCCAAGAGGGAGATTAAGTTTCTAGCAGAACTTTGACTCAATATTTTTTCCACTCCAGTTAGTGTTCCAGTTCACCCACATTTTAAAAGTTCAGGTCCATTCTGGTGTCACTTCATCAGCCATAAATGAACTGGGCTGAACCAGTTTGAAACCCTGGTTTTCTAGACTGTAATATGTGTGGGAGTGATCACCAGGTCTTTATCCCACACAGCCTCTGGGTGGGTTTGAACCACCAACCTTTCAATTAGCATCTGAGCACTCAACTGTTGCACTACCAGGGATCTAGTTTCTATACTTTTTAACAATTGGAAAAATAATAAAGGAGAATATTTAATGACACGTGAAAGTTTTATGAAATTCAAATGTCAGAGTCCATACTGAAGTGTTATTAGGACATTTATTTATTACATCATTCATTTACATATTATCTATGGCTGCTTTTGTCCTCAAATGGCAGAGTCAAGTCATTGCAACAGAGCCTGTGTGGCCTGCAAAGCCAAAAATACTTACTATCTGGTCCTTTACAAGGAGTCCCTGGAGGGCGCAAAACAGTTAAGTGCTTAAGTACAAACAAAAGGTTGGCTATTTGATTCCTTCTAGAGGTGTCTTACTTGCCTGCTAACCAGATGGCTGGCGGTTCAAACCCACCAGCCACTCCTCGGAAGGAAGGTTGGGCAATCCTACTTCCGTAGTGATACTGCCTCGGAAACCCAAGGAGGGGTCGCTATGAGTCGGGGCCGACTCGACGGCACATAACAACAACAACAAGAGGTGTCTTAGGAGCTCTGGTAGCATTATAGGTGTCTTACTTGCCTGCTAACCAGATGGCTGGCGGTTCAAACCCACCAGCCACTCCTCGGAAGGAAGGTTGGGCAATCCTACTTCCGTAGTGATGCTGCCTCGGAAACCCAAGGAGGGGTCGCTATGAGTCGGGGCCGACTCGACGGCACATAACAACAACAACAAGAGGTGTCTTAGGAGCTCTGGTAGCATAGTGGCTAACTTACTTGCCTGCTAACCAGATGGCTGGCGGTTCAAACCCACCAGCCACTCCTCAGAAGGAAGACTGGGCAATCTACCTCCATAGTGATACTGCCTCGGAAACCCAAGGAGGGGTCGCTATGAGTCGGGGCCGACTCGACGGCAAATAACAACAACAACAACAACCAGCCAAAAGTTTGGCAGTTCAAACCCACCCAAAGGCATCTCACAAGAGAGGTCTGGTGATGTGCTTTCAAAAGGTCAGAGCCTTGCAAACCCTATGGAGCAAACCCTACTCTACACACATGGTGTGGCCATGACTCAGAATGTACTCACCGGCAATAGACAACAATAAATCTTCAAGGAAGCAGATTGAACCACCAACCTTTAGATTAGTAGTCAAGTTCAAACTGTTTGCATCACCCAGAATAGATGACACCTAGAATAGCACACAATAGCCCCTGTGTTGTTGTTGTTGTTGTTGTTTTTATAATCAACTTCAATATCTTCATTGTTGATTCCTGCTCAGATATGTCATTCACCACCACAGTTTCCCCAGGTCTATCCTGGCTTGAGAAAACTTTGCCAATAATTGCAAAGGAAGTTAAATGAATTCCTGCAGGAACGACAAAGGAATATTCTGTAGGGAGAGGAGGTGTTGAGGTTGGTGATTCTCTGTGCTGGTTTTCCCAGGATGCTGACGTTTAAAGCTGTGGCTCAGCTCTTTCTCTTGGGCTGCTCCTGGTGTCTGGGTTTTTTTCTCGTGAAGTCGATAAAGGAACCATTCAGATCGGTTATCGCCTATGTGTTCACCATCACCAATGTCCTGCAGGGAGTCTACATCTTCCTTGTCCACTGTCTCCTCAATCGGCAGGTAACGTATGTTTCATGCCCACTTCCTGGCTCTCACAGTTGTGGTCCACACTCATCATTTGTACAGTCTCATCCTCTCTGCACAGGAGGCCGTGGTAGTTCTGTGGTAGAATTCTTATCTTCCATACAAGAAACCCAGCCAATACCCCTCACACATAGCCACCACCCATCTGTTCCCAGACACTTGCATGTTGCTGTGATGCTGAATAAGTTTCACTGCAGCTTCCAGGCTAAGACAAACTAGGAAGAAAGGCCTGGTGATCAGCTTCTGAAAATCAGCCAAGGAAACCCTAGGGAGCACAACAATCTGATCCCATTGTACCTGCAGTTACCATGAGTCAGGAATTGATGTGACAGCACCTAACAATGACATAGGTACTATATGTTTTATCACTGTATTTTAATTTACATTTATCTTATTAGGAGTGAGATTGATTTTTTTCTCACATATTTAGTGGTCATTTATAATTTCTTTTCTGTGAACTGATCATTATTTCTTTTTCTCCATTTTTCTATTGGCCTTTGGTCTTTTATCTTTTTGATCTCTAAGAACTCTTTACATATTAAGGACACAAGCCCTTTGTGTTAGACTGGATTCTCTAGAGAAACAAAACCAGTAAAGCTTATATAGAGAGAGAAAGGGAAATTTATCTTAGGAAAATGGCTCACACACTTATAGAAACTGGCAAGTCCAAACTTCTTGGATCAAATGTCAAGCTGGAGGCTTTTCCTGACTCATGCAGCTGCAGGGGCTGAGGAGCTCAAGGTTGGCAGCCAGTATACTGGCTGTTGACTCCAACGAATGACAAATCCAAGATCTCCAGGCCGAATGGTAGATGTTCACTCAAGGACAGTTGTAGGCAGCACAACAGAATCTCAATCCACAGAAGAGTGTCTCTTTTCCCAGGATGTCCATAAATACACTGGAAGCAGGCCACACCCCTAGGGAAAACTACTTTTCCACAGATTGGTTGCTCAAAACATATGCATCAGATCCTATCACTGGAACAACCCACATCACAGTTGCTTCAACCACACAGAATTGTGGTCCAGCCAAGTTGACACACAGCTCCAACTATCACAGTCCACGCCTTGTCAACTCGGCACTTGTACACATCTTCTTAACCATATATAATCTCTAAATAAAGACAATTAGTCTTTGATGTTGTTGTTTTTAGGTGCCATCAAGTCAGTTCTGACTCATAGTGACCCTGTATACAATGGAACAAAACACTGCCCAGTCCCGCACCATCCTCACAATTGTTGCCATGTTTGAACCCATCACTGCATGTCTTTGGTATGTTATGAGCATCTTTTTCCAGTTTGTTCTTTTCCTTTGGATTTGCTTCTATGTTCTCTAGCCAGGTAGACTTTTTTTTTTGTCCCACTGAGTACTTAAGCTCATAGACTTCATATCTCATTTTATGCTATATTATTTCCCATCTAAGTCAACTGCATTGCAATCTTATCTCTTTTTTATTATTATTATTTTATTGTGATTTGGGTGAAGGTTTACAAAGCAAATTCACTTTCCATACAGCAGTTCATATACACTTTTGTCTCATGACATTGACCAGTTTACCACAATGCAACAGCTCCCCTCCCACCTCCTCCCCACAGTTACCTCTTCCATGGGCTCCTGTCCCGAGCTGTCTCCCTGTGCATAAGCAGCCCTTCTTTCTCCCATGGTTGGGAGAACAATCTCTCCAAGGAGTGTATCTTGTTGTTGTTGTTATGTGCCGTCGAGTCAGCCCTGACTCATAGCGACCCCTCCTTGGGTTTCCGAGGCAGTATCACTACGGAAGTAGGATTGCCCAACCTTCCTTCCAAGGAGTGGCTGGTGGGTTTGAACCACCAGCCTTCTGGTGAGCAGTCAAGTGCCTTAGGCACTATGCTACCATATCTACTTGAGGTAAATGTTCAACTCATATGCCTGTCTTTTGTTTGGCTGGGAACCACAGGTGTGGGTTCGATTCCAGACCTGAAGGGCAGCTAGGGGCCATAGTCTCAGTGGCTCCACGATCTTATCTCTTGCTTAATGCTCAAACTTCCTTCCCCAACCTTTTCCCCAGGAAGACTGTGGACTCCTCTGTCTCTGGCTATTGTGGATTTCTCTTGCATGTGTTTTTTTCTCATTATTAGAAAAGTCTCTGGGTGGCACAAACAGGTTGCACTGGACAACTAAAGGCTGGCGACCTACACACTAGCAACTGTGGAAGAATGGCCTGATGACCTGTTTTCATAAAGAAAACCCTATGGGGCACAGCCCTACTCTGCTACACGTGGGGTTACCATGAGTCAAAATCAACTTGTTGGCAACAACTTTACCCTTGTTTTTCTCATTATTATGCCATTCCTAGGATGAGCAGGCCTAAGACCTGGGGCCCCTATGGCAATGTCTTTGTGCAGTTTGGCCTTAGCAGACACCTGCACTAGGTCACATGTCAACGGGCTTCTTGGCTTGTCTCCAGTGAGTGCTGTAATAGAAGCTTGCTATCAGCTACTCTTTCTTCTTTCTCCTGTTTTTCCAAATGTTTTGGAAGATAGGACTTAGTCTTCTGAATGCACAAACTTACAACATTGTATTTCTGCTCATGGACTGTAGATAGTGGATGACAATACACCATGCCTTGACCAGCCTAACACACACACAAATAAGCCAGTTTCCACTGAGGCAACTCCAACTCAAGGGGGCTTATGTGTGTCAGAGGGGAGCTGTGTTCCATGGGGTTTTCAGTAGATTGCCAAGCCTTGCTTTCAAAGCACCTCTGTGTGGACTCAAATCACCAAACTTCTGGTCAGCAGCCAAGTGTAACCATTTGGACCACCCAGGGGCTCCTAACCTAACAAACACATTTCCTCTACTTTTGTAATATAACATAGTATGTTTCCCTCCTCCAGCACAAGACATTTCTCTGCTGAACAATTCTACCCAATGTGAAGACTTAGAGAAGACAACAGATGTGGTTTCATGTGGCATTTATATTTACTTAGTTCAGCACCCATTTAGAAAGAGCTGCTAAGTTAGCAAAGTTCCTGGGTAGTGCAAAGACGTGCTTAGCTGCTAACCAAAAAGCTGGTGGTTCAAATCCACCCAGCAGCTCCACAGAACAAAAGTCTGGTGATCTGTGTCCATACACATCACAGCCAAGAAAACCCTATGGAGCAAAGTTCTACCCTGTCATACACGGGTCACCATGCATCAGGGTTGACTCAGTGGCAACTGGTTTTGCTTGGTTTACTAAATTAGTGGGGTTCCCTTGGAAGGTTAGCTCAAGGAAAACTGGTAGTAATTAACATACTTATGTTAGTTTATCATAATATGTTTTTTTAACTTCATACGTATGACCTTAGGAGCTCTGGTGGTGTAATGCCTAAGGCATTTGACTGCTAACCAGAAGGCTGGCAGTTCAAACCCACCAGCCAGCCACTTGTTGGAAGGAAGGTTGGGCAATCTACTTCCGTAGAGATACCACCTGGGAAACCCAAGAAGGGGTCACTATGAGTCAGAATCAATTTATTTTTACATATGAACTTATAGTAATTCACTATGTTGTTGCTGGGTGCCGTCAAGTTGATTCTGACTCATAGCAACCCCACATGACAAAGTGGAACTGCCCTGTAGGGTGTCTTAGGCTGTCATCTTTACAGGAACAATCACCAGGTCTTTCTCCGTCAAGTGCTCAGTGAGTCTGAACCACTGACCTTTTGGTTAGCAGCCAAGCACGTAACCCTTGCATGGCTAGGGCTTTAATTCACCATCCCTTGTATCAAAAAAAGACTTTACATGCACGCTTTGGTATGAATTTTTTAAATGTCAGGACTTAAGTTCATGGCACATCAGTAAGAACCACAGTGTGTATCTCTGTATTTCTCACCTGTTCTTTCTTATTCAAAGACCTTCTGTGTGGTTTTTGGTCACCATCCTTTATGAGGAAGACATAACGGGTCTTCCTTAAATAAGATTCATTTTCCTGAAGCTATTTATTTTTTAAAACCTAGTGTAATTGCTCCACTCCTCGGAAGGAATGTTGGGCAATCCTACTTCCGTAGTGATACTGCCTCGGAAACCCGAGGAGGGGTCGCTATGAGTCGGGGCCGACTCGACGGCAAAACAACAACAACAACAGTGTAATTGCTCACCTTATAGGCTTGTCTATTGTTTGGCTGGAATTTAAGCCATGGAAGTGAATTCAATTCCAGGCTAAAAGGGTATCTAGGGGCCATAGTCTCGGGGGGTTTACTAGTCTCAAACAAACCAGTAAGCCTGGCCATTGGTATGATTTTGAGTTTTGTTCAACATTGTTCTCCCACTCTATCCAGGATCTCCAGTTTTGATCCATTCTGGAGTGGTTGACAGTGGTAGCCGGGCACCATCTAGTTCTTCTGGTCTCATGGTCATGTAGGCTGAGGTTTGCAGGATCCATTAGTCCCTTGGACTAATTGTTCCCATGTGTCTTTGATTTTCTTCACTCATCTTTGCTCCAGATGAGAAAAGACCAATTGTTGCATCTTAGATGGTCTCTTGCAAGCTTGTAAAACCCCAGCCACTACCCACCAAAGTAGGATATAGAACAATGCTTTTGTGTAGTATGTTACGCAAATTGAGCTTGGTGTGACCATAGTCCCAAGCCCTTGGGCTAAAGCCATTATTTTATTTTATTTCTCAACCAAAGAGATGAAAACATTAATTATATAAAATGAATTGTTAATAACCTTTTACATTTCTTTTTTTTGTTTGTTTTCTTTTGAACATTTTAATACCGTTTGTATGAAAGTTTACAGAGCAAATTAGTTTCCTATCCAGCAATTTATACACATTTTGTTTCATGACGTTAGCTACCTACTACTTTTATTTATTTTTTTTTTATTTTTGCAGTGTTCCCTCCCCTCCCCTCCTATCCCTGGTAAAGAATATTATGTTTACACAAGATAAAGAAATCAATGTCGGTTGCCATGGAGCCTCCTCTGACTCATGGCAACCTCACGTGTGGCAGAGCAGAGCTGTGCTCCATCAGGTTCTCAATGGCTGGGTTTCAGAAGTATATTGGCAGGCCCTTCTTTAAAGGTTCCTCTAGGTAGAATCAACCTCTAACCTTTCAGTTAGCAGCCTAGAGCATTAACTGTTGGCACCACTCAGGGACTCCAAAAGAAAATAATACTTTGATAATATTCTAAGCACTCTAAAGAGGTGAAAACATGAATATCCTCTTGCAGAGGAGGCATAAGGATGGTTGACGAGCAATTTGACCAAACCAGATGAAAATCATCCCACATATTCATTCTACTGTTTGTGCCTCCAGCTTCCATTTCTGTGTTTGTAACTGCTTGACTCTAGGCCTCTCACAGTTTGCAGCTATGTGGCACTATGAAAGTCCCTGAGTGGCACAAAAGGTTTGCACTCAATTATTAAAGTAAAGATTAGTGGTTTGGGCCCACCCAGTGGTGCTGCAAAAGAAAGGCCTGGTGAGTTGCTTCTGTAGAGACTGCAGCCAAGAAGACCCTATGGAGCAGTCCTGCTGTCATCACACATGGGGTCGCCATGAGTCAGAATTGACTCCACGGCAATGGGTTTATATCTGGTGTTTGCCACCATTAAGTGCCTTTTGAAAATGAGCTCTGGTGGTACAGTGGTTAAGGTATCTGGCTGCTAACTGAAAGGCCAGTGATTCGAACCCCCAAGCCACTGTGCTGGAGAAAGATGTTGTTGTTTTTATTGTTGTTGTTAGGTGCCATTGAGTCATTTCCAACTCATAGCGACCCCATGCACAACAGAATGAAATACCGCCCAATCCCGCGCCAGCTCCATGATCCTTACTATACCTGAGCCCATCGTCGCAGCCACCGTGTCAATCCATCTCGTTGAAGGCCTCCCCCTCTTTCGTCGACCCTCCACCCTACCAAGCATGACCTCCTTTTCCAAGGAATGGTCCCTTTTGACAACATGACCAAAGTAGGTGAGACGAAGTCTGGCCATTCTCGCTTCAAAGGAGCATCTTGGCTGTACTTCCTTCAGGACAGATGTGTTAGTTCTTTTAGCAGTCCACGGTACTTTCAGCATTCTTTGCCAGCACTACAACTCTAAAGCATCAACTCTTCTTTGGTCTTCCTTATTCACTGTCCAGCTCTCACATGCATACGAGGCGATTGGAAATATCATGGCTCATGTCAGGCTCACTTTAGTCCTCAAGGAGACATCCTTGCTCCTCAGAGGAGAAAGATGAGGCAATCTAATTCCATAAAGATTGGCAGCCTTGGAAACCCTATGGGGCAGTTCTACTCTGTCTTATAGGGTCGCTATGAGTCAGAATCGACTGCATGGCAGTGGGTTTTGGTTTTCAATGCCTTTGACCTTCCTCACTCTTGAAGCATACTTGCTTTCTTATTCAGTGTATCTCAGAGAACTTGCCACTGGCTCAGTTCTATCATTTTTATCTTTCTGATGTCTTATCATTTGAAACTGCATTAAGGACGTAGAATTGGGTGCAGCCATTTCTACTTATTCTTTGGGTATCTACACAGAAGTCTAGCAAGATGCATCATATTCATGATGCTCCTCTTAAAAACAATATTAAAACCAATACCAGTTGCAATCCTACTTCCGTAGTGATACTGCCTCGAAAACCCAAGGAGGGGTCGCTATGAGTCGGGGCCGACTCGATGGCACATAACAACAACATAACAACAACAATGAGTTGAAGCGGACGCGTGGGACGTCGTGTGTTTCCAGGTAGAACTGGGTTCCATGGAGTTTCCAGTGACGGATTTTTCAGACATAGATCACTAGGTCTTCTTTTGAGACATCTTCGAGGAGACTCGAACTGCTGACCTTTTGATTAGTATGTTAATGGCTTGCACTACCCAGGGTCTCCTAATTTTAATAAGCATTTGATGAAAAGCTAAGAATTTCCTCCAAGAAATTTTAATATTCAAACATACTCTATATGAACCCAAATCCTATGGAAACCCAAGTGCAGTAAATGAGATAATTTTTTTTCTATGACATTTTTAAGAAAAAGATCTTTTTATTGTGATTTGGATGAAATTTTACAAAGCAGATTCATTTTACATTCAACAGTTCATACACATTTTGTTTTGTGACACTGGTTACATTTCCCACAGTGTAATGGTTCTCCTCTCATTTCTTCCCTGTGGTTACATGTAGTAGTTCAGTTTGTGGCTAGGCCTGGTGGAGTGGCTGGGCAGTTGGATGTAGTTATTCCCTATGGTAAGACTAGTAATCAACTCCACGGTGGAATCTATTGGAGCAGCTGAGTAGCTGCCTTAGGGATGTGGTCTGCTTCCCATATATAAGCAGCATCTTTGCTGATGGTCTCTAGCTTATGGCATGCTTGAACCTTGCATGTCGTCATGTCATTGTTCAGCAGCCTGCCATGCTCTGCTGACCTTGGGACTTTCAATGGACTTGAATTAATGGCCTGCCGTGTGGTTTGGTAATGTCGGGACTGTGCCCTTTTTTACTTGTCAACCTTGGGCTTGGCAGCCTCAGCAGCCAGCAGCTGTCTGAGTTAAGAAAAGGCTCTAGCTCCAGTGGGCTGGGAGCAGGAGGCAGAGCTGAAGCCCAAGGTCAAGAGGCTTTCAGCCAGCCTGGCACTTTGAACTCAGACTTAAAGCCTCCAAACTGTAAGAGAATAAACTCCTGCTTGTTAAAGCTTCCCATTTGGGTATATTCCTATCAGAGCAGCACTAGGTAACCAAAAGATTACACTTTTCTTGTGTCCTTCTAATAAGAACATTGTAAGGAACAACTTCTACTTCCCCTTCTGTGAATCTTTCAACTTTCTTGGATCTGACAATCAAGTTCAAAATCCTTAGTGTGATCTGCATAATCTGTACAATCATACCCTGGTGACCTGTTCTGACATCTCTCTCCTCCTTAGGTTCTAACAACTGTCTTCCCCAGTGCCTGCCAGGCTTAGTCCTACCCCAGGGCCTTTGCTCAGGATGTCCCCTGGCTTGTTGTTATTTGCCATCAAGTTGGACCTGACTCATAGCGACCCCTCCTTAGGTTTCCAAGGCAGCATCACTACGGAAGTAGATTGTCCAACCTTCCCTCCGAGGAGTGGCTGGTGGGTTTGAACCGTCAGCCTTCTAGTTAGCAGTTAGGTGCCTTAGGCAGTGCTGACTCATGGCAGCCTGATGCATAACAGGAAGAGACATTGCCCAGTCCTGTGCCGTCCTCATGATCACTGGTAAGCTTGAGTCCACTGTCTCTTCAGCGATAGAAGTCTCAGCTTCTGCCCAAGAGACCCATATGTGATTCCCAGCCGATGCACTTTGTCAAAAGCCACCATGTGTCTGCCAGAGGAGCCTTGTGTGTTGCTGTGATGTTGAAAAGGTTTCAGCAGAGCTTTCAGACTAGGGAGGAAGAAGAAGAAAGGCCTGGCAATCTACCTCTGAGAATCAGGCAATGAAAACCCTGTGGAGCAAAAGGTCCCATCCGCAGCTGAACATGGGGGTGTCACAGGACCAGCGGGAGTTTCATTCCATTGGGCATAGGGTCACCATAAGTTGGGGCCTACATGACTCAACAGCAGTTAATAGCAACAAATGGGACTCAGAGGAAAGTGGTTAAAATATATATTTTGGAGATATATATGTATATATATATATATGTGTGTGTGTATATATATATATGTATGTATATATATATTTATATGTGTGTATACATATATATGGGAGCTCTGGTAGCATAGTGCCTAAGGCACTTGACTGCTAACCAGAAGGCTGGCGGTTCAAACCCACCAGCCACTACTTGGAAGGAAGATGGGGCAATCTCCTTCCGTAGTGATACTGCCTCAGAAACCCAAGAAGGGGTCGCTATGAGTCGGGTCCGACTTGATAGCACATAACAACAACAACAACAATGCACATATATATGTATGTGTGTGTATATATATGTGTGTATATATATCTATAGATAGATAGATACAGATAGATATATCTCAGTGCCTAAGGCATTTGACCACTAACCCACCAGCTGCTCTGTGGAAGGAAGATGAGGCAATCTGCTTTGCTAAAGATTTACCACCTTGGAAACCCAATGGGGGTTGCTATGAGTCAGAATTGACTAAATGGCAGTGAGTTTGGTGAGTATATATATAATTTTCCCCTTAAACGTTTTTACTAAGCAAGTGTTGCTGTTGTTGTTATGTGCCGCCGAGTCAGACCTGACTCACAGCGACCCCTCCTTGGGTTTCTGAGGCAGTATCACTACGGAAGTAGACTGCCCAACCTTCAAGTATCTTCATTTCAATTTTTTCAGGTGCAGGAGGAGTACAAAAGGTGCTTTGCGTGGATGAGCAAAATGAAGTCTGAGAGCTCTACAATGGCCACTTCTAGCACCTACACCCAGAGGCCTGTCTCAGGTATGGCAGGTAGGGCGGGTGCCCTGGAAGCCACTGGAAGGGGGCACCACTGAGCAGTTTCCATTAACCATGGCCGTTTCCATTCTCAGCTGTGAGAGGCCATTCAGCAAACCGAAGTTAACGCTTTCATGTTTGAGAGCCTGGGGGGCTGGGGAGGGGGGCATGTCAGGCCAGACTGTGTGCGGTCTTGCTCTGCTGAGTGCAGAAAAGGAACACAAAACAGTGACTCTGAGCCCATCAGAGACCGATTTTCGTCAGTGAAAGCAAGGAAGGTGCCGTTTTCATTGTCGTGTAGTGCCAGTGCCATCATATGTTAAGTAAAACATGACCAAGCTTGATTTGTAAGTTTGAGCTGATATTACAGTGAAGTTATCCAAACGATGAGTGTCAGGTGTTTGCACATTTCAGTGCTTGCATAGAGGCTGTTTTCCACAGAGGCACCTCTGCCCACAGCCATGTGCTAAGGCAATGCCCTCTCCCAACACCTGGTGTTTCCCAGGCTGCTCCCACGTGCCTCCAGTTGGCTCTCCCACCATTGCCCTTGTTAGTTGCCATCAAGTCGATTCCTACATGTGACGACCCCGGGAGACAGAGTAGAACTGAGCTCCATAGGGTTTTCAATGACTGTGACCTTTTGGAAGTACATCACCAGACCTTTCTTCCAACGTTCCTCTGGGTAGGATTGAACCACCAAGCTTCGGATCAGTAGTCCAGTACTTAATCAGTTGTATCCTTTGCTACCCTGATAATGATGGGATAACATTGTGGTTCTTGGTGTAGAAACCAATCACAAACCAACCCACTGCCCTTGAGTCAGTTCTGACTCAGAGACCCCCATTGGGTTTGTAAAGCTGTAAATGTTTGTTGTTGTTGTTGTTTGCCGTTGAGTCGGCCCCGACTCATAGCGACCCCCCCCCTCCTTGGGTTTCCGAGGCAGTATCACTACGGAAGTTGGACTGCCCAACCTTCCTTCCGAGGAGTGGATGGAGGGTTTGAACCGCCAGCCTTCTGGTTAGCAGTCAAGTGCCTTAGGCACTATGCTACCAGAGCTACAGAAGTAGATTGCCTCATCTTTCTCCTGCAGAGCAGCTGGGGGTTTGAACCACCAACCTTTTGGTTAATAGCCAAATGCCTTGCCCACTGTCAACGTGGCTGAGCCTGGTTGAGTGGCTAGGCAGCTGTATGTAGTTATTCCCCATAATGAGACTGGTAATCAACTCTATGGTGGAATCTACAGGAGCAGCTGAGTAGCTGCCTTACGGATGGCTTCTTGGATACAAGTCAGCTTTGAGAAAGATCTCTGAGCTTTTTGGCATGCTTGGATTCTGCATGTAGCTGAGTCTTCATTCAGCAGCCTGCCATGTTTCCTGCTGATCGTGGCACTGTCTCTGGACTTGAACTACTGTCCTATCATGTTATTTGGTAATCTTGGGACTGTGCCATTTTTATTTGTTGACCATGGGTTTGTCAGCCTCAGCAGCCAGCAGCTGCCTGAGCAGAGACACCTCCAGCTCCAGTGGGCCGGGAGCAAGAGGCAGAGCTGAGGCCCAAGGTCAAGGGACCTTCACCTAGCCTCTGCTTTGAACTCAGACTTCTAGTCTCTTAAATTGTAAGAGAATAAATAAATCCCTGTTTGTTCAAGCCATACGTTGTGGTATTCCTGTTGGAATGCCACTAAAAAAAAAAAAAAAAAAAAAACTCACTGCCATAGAGTTGATTTTGACTCACAGCGACCCCTCCTTGCATTTCCGAGGTGGTATCACTATGGAAGTAGATTGTCCAGTCTTCCTTCCAAGGAGTAGCTGGTGGGTTTGAACCACGAGCCTTTTAGTTAGAAGTCAAATGCCTTAGGTAGTCCACCACCAGAGCTCCTTAGAATGCCACTAGAGAACCAAAACACCTGCTATGTCACCAGAGCTGCTTGATATAGAGAGTCCATTCTTATGTCAGCTTAGTCAGTACCTCACTGTGAACACAGCTAGGGTTGTTGTTGTTGTTCTTGTTGTTGTTGTTGTTAGGTGCCGTCGAGTTGTTTGACTCACAGTGACCCCATGCACAGCAGAATGAAACACCACCTGATCCCGCGCCAGCTCCACGATCCCTGCTA